CGGCGCGAGCGGCTCCCTCCAGTCCCCGCGCGGGCGGCGGCGGCAGCGTCGTCGAGCGGTGCAGACAAAGGAGGGGCGGAGGGAGGAGACAGAGGGTGTGGGAGCGGCGGCTTCACCGGCGCGGGCGGGCGGGCGGCGGCCGCGCTTCCCTCGCTCCTCGGCGGCGGGGACCGAGAGAGGGAGCTGTGTCTGAGGAGACGCCAAAATCCCCCTTAGCGGTGCCTGCGGGAGGGGGAGGGGGCACAAGATGGCGGCGGCCGGGGGGCGGGAGTTCAGCTCATGGATCCCGGCGGGCGGCGGAGGGGAGACCGGGCCGGCGGAGGCGGCGGCGGCAACGGGCGGGGGAGGGGGCCGATCCCGCGTCTCCCCTCAGCAGACAATACAAGCGCCTCGGAGCGAGTCCCCGAACCTGCCCTAGCCAAAATGGCGGCCGAGAAAGAGCGGAAGTGACGTAAGTACCTCATTAGCATAAGAACTCATTGTCCAGCTAAGTAGGGGGGGCAATGGGGGACTGCACCCCTTCCCTCCATGCTCCCCAGGGACAATTCTCTTACTTGTATCTAAGCTTGAACCCAACTTTTCCTCAGGGAGGGTGCACCCAGGACCCCTACAGCCGCCTAAGGGAAATTATATAATCCCCACTGAGAGGGAGCTCTCGCGAGAACCTGGAGGGTTTGCCACTGACCCACTAGGAGGCGCCGCAGATAATGGCCGCAGTGCGCTCCCAGGGCCCGTGCGCTTGGCGGGCGCCTTCCTCTGGCCGCAGCGGCGGAGGCAGAAGCAGCGGGCCGCAGCACGCCCAGCACTCAGTCAGGTGGCCGTGCTGGGGATCCCTGCGCGGGCCCAGCTGAGCCTGGACTACATCTGGAAGGAGGGGTGTGCAGGGCAGCCCTGGGCAGCTCCACGTGCTTGGAGGCGCGCGCGCTCCTGGGCTGGGCGGCAGCTGGAAGGGGCAGGGACACCTGCTTTAAATTAGGTGTGAGGGCCTCGTGCTTCACAAGCCCACTTGTGAGATGAGGCAACCCCTGGCCCCTGAGGCCTTCGTGGTGAGGCGGGGTATTCAGTGGACAAGGGCTGCATTTTACAGGTCTGCTGTTGCTGGCACTTGACATTCTTCCAACTCAGTCATGGACTCTCCTCTTTGGCCTGAAGAAACAAGTGGAATCCCCAGTGTTTTGAGGCCAGTGGACTGGTGAAGCCGAAGGATGAAGTGATGTCGCCAATGGCCCTCCACAAGATCCTTAAGAACACTTTGTAATCCTAGGGCAAGTTCTAGTGCTCCCACAATCTGGATAGCATGACAGCACATGGACAGAGTGCTTGAAAACGTTAGGCCAGTCCCAACACTTATCGTAGAGTGCATCTGAGAGTGTATCATTGGTGAAATGTATTTAAAAGTAATAAAAGCCAATGGTTAAGGATTAACCAAGGCTAGTTTTTCAATACGTGCTCTGTAAATACACTTTTACTACTGTTCCTTTTAGTTTACAAGGTAAGATAGTTTCAAATAATACTTAACATCTCAAAAGAATCTAACTGATATGAATTGTGGTTAACTATACTCAATGTCTAAGACTTTGGTTAGCAAGTTTAACAAACTTTCATCCAACACACTGTTCCATTAACTTCTGCAATTTCACTAACATCTTTAAAAGCCAAATCAGTACTTCAGTAGAAAACAGGAGCTGGAAAAAGTTGTTTAAAAAACAACAGCAGGGGAGGGTTTGGCAAAGCATTTGACTCAGGAAGATGAAGAATCTATACACTGTATAATACAAGCAGAAAGCTACTATGAAATAAGCAAAATAAGGTAATTTTTAGTTTTCCTTTGGTATACTTAGATTTCATAGTGATAATACAAATACAGAGGAAGAGCATCTGGATTTCATCATTGGCCTCATTTATGAAGCAAAAATGGATGCTGTATTCAGATAATGTTTAAAAAGATTTTACAGTGTCACCAGATTTACTACAAAAATGAATCTAAATAGTCTAGATTCTTTTCTAAATGACTTCCAAATAATGAGCAGTGAAACTCAATTCCAACATTGATAAAAAGTGTTATGATAGTGGGAAGAACTGAAAAGATTAAAAAGACAAAAGTTATCTATTTTAGGTGAGGCATGAGAAAGCAATGCTTTACAGTAGGGTTCTCTGAAATAGTTACTTAATTTCTGCTCCATATACTTCACACTGAAAACTTAACTCTTTGAGTTTAAAGAGAATTCTCAGCACTCCAAAAATATTGAGCACTCGGAGCTGGGGATTCAGCTCAGTGGTGCTGCACCTACCTTGCAAGCACAAGGTCCTGAGTTCAATCCCCGGTACAGCAAAAAAAAAAAAAAAAAAGTAATAAAGCTACTTTCGATGACCCACTTCTTTACAAACAAACAAAAAATTGAGTACTTTATAATTCTGTTACTATATAATTTTACATGAAGCACTGATGAATTTTCCAGTTATTAACGAGTGGAGAAGTCACTCCTCAAGGAAAGCTGGTCTCTGGTGGGCCAACTGAATAGCTCTGGGCAAAATAGAATTGCAGTGGCTCTCACTGCTGTATATTATGGGTTTAAATATGGGAATGGGGGTAAAGTTTAACTGTTCAAAAGACAAAGGTTTTAGTTTATTATTTATTTCTGGTAAGAACAGAGAGCAATGCAAATGAATTATCAGACTTTCATCAGCAAATTAAGCCTTAAAATATACCTATGTAACTCAGACACACTCTGTTCTTTTTACTTGCAAAAGAAAGTCAACTAAGCTTGTTTAAAGTATGTTCTTACTCAAATTTTTAAAATATCATGTCTCAAAACTATGTTACAGTTAGAAAATAATTATCTTTTTTGAAATGCTTATGTTAGAGAAGGCAGATAAACGAAATATTTGCTCTGGCTTTATGGAATATAGGTATCATTCAGAAACCACTATGTACTTCAGAAGCATAATTAATATTCCTCCTCCAACATTTATCAGCTCAGCCATAAAGAACTATGAATCTAGTTTTTATAAAGAATATTTCAGATACTGTCCCATATAAGAAATTGTACAATCACATACTCTAAAGAAACCAGCAACATTTAATTCAACAACCCATATCATTTATTTATAGGTCTTAATACAGCAAAATGTAAATGAAAATTGAGAGCACTGCTTATTAGGCCAGTAACTTTAAAATTTAATTTGAAGTAAAAAATGGAGTTTCTCCAGATAAAATATTTGTATAAAATTTACCTTACCTTATGGTTTATGCTCTAAGAGTACATGTTATAAAAATCAGTAACAGGGCTTCTTTTATATTTCAATTGAAATGAACATAAGTAGCAATGAATAACTTTCTTTTATGTAGTAGCAAAGAGAGTCAATAGTCCTTTCAAGAAAGAGACTATTTCATTTCCTCCCAACTTGGATTCACCATAAACACGATCCACAAATGATATTGGAACCTGGTTAAAAAAAAAAGTCCATGTTAAAAAGTCAGTCTTCAAAAAAAAAATGAGAAGGGAAGCTCACTGGGTGTACAGCCATTACTACAACAGAAGTCCTTCTTCATGTCAGTTCAGAAATTAGGGGATTCTTAAAGCACTCCTGTGCATCCAAATTAAACATGCATTTCATTATCTAAAAACAAGTCATAGGAACGAAATCTAAAAATATTTGAAAGGCACCAATGCTGAATATTATGTTGGTTTACTCAAGTTTCAGGCTCCATTTCAAGGAAAAAACTCTGAAAGTAAAGTGGCCTTTCACTTAGCATTCTCTTTCTGAAGTTTAGCTATAATTTCCACAAGAGAAGCAGCATTCTAAGGTAGCTGTTTCCTAAGTCAATGTTTTAGTGTTAAGAATCTTCCCTATGAGCTTATTAGTTATACATCCCCCAGGCCCTTGCTCTGTAATTCCTGCCCATTTTCATTTACTCACAAGAAATGGTCACACAAGATTTATAATTCAGTTTAAAGTATGGTGGAAATTGGTTACAAAAGGAAAAGAGGCTAATGGACTCAACCCATAATACCGAGTGGTCAGGCTAGGATGGAGGAGTTACCTCTAACTTTTAATTACTTAAAGGGAAAAGCTGGGGTTTGAGATGTAGCTCAGTAGTACGGTGCTTGCCTAGCATACACAAGGTCCTGGGTTCAACTGCTAGTAATGAAAAGAAAAAAAATGGAGACAAAGATGCTTTTAAGTCCCAGTAGGTCAAATGTATTAATTTGAAAGGAATTTGAATTTTCACCCTTTAATGCATGGACATTTTAAACTGAAAGCCCACACTGTTAGTAGCTATGAAAGTTACACTTTTCACCACAAAAAGTCCACACCTTAGTATTCCTTTATGGGGACTATAACACATACTAGCATCAGTTACATACCTCACCAATAGTGTAATTCAATTGCCTTGCTCGAACAATCATCTCCATCTGGAAGACATAGCCTTTAGAAACACATTTTTCTATTAACTTCTGGAGAACTTCTTTTTTGTATAATCTGTAAGAAACCACAGCATAGATGAGAATCTGAGTCAGTACATTGTCTACACCTATCTTGAAGATTCAAAGAGTTCACTGGTATTTATAAAGCCTAAAATTGCTATTAGTATAGAGAAAAGTTCTCACAGTTGATGACAAGGATACATTTGTCTTGAAGACAGGCCGTGAAATTTGCTAACTAGTTTAGAAATAATTTTGAAAATGAATTCTCAGTATGTTTTAGAGATCTACCTTCCCATCACACTATCAGGAATTATTAAAATATGCTAAAATAAATCTCTTGATGCAGAACCACTTACTACTTGTTTTGGTTTTAAAATTTATGTTTAAAGTTGAAAAGGGAGAAACTGTTCCAAATACTGGAACAGAGGAACTGTCAGATAGGATGAAACTACATACACGGGATTATAAGAACCAGTAATTAGTTGGCATTTCCACAAAAATGTCTATTTCCTAACATTTACTTAGTAAATTCCCTAGGATAAACTAAGTCCCTCTAGGTTGAGCTGTTTAAGGTAGGTGAAAACAGGAACTATACACCACTGGGTGGAGGCAGATTCTGGTGGGAATCAGCTAACAACTGAGGTCACTGGGCATGGGCCAAGGTGTAGCCTAACTTTAGAGGACTGCAGATCACCCAGAGCTTAGCCGATTTACAGAGTAAAGACACAGGAGCTGGGAAGTTCTGTGGGTGAACCCAGTCACTTTCTTGGGTAACTTCAAATAGTGGGGAGCTCCCTGTTTTCAGAGAGGTTTTATTATTATTTAAATCAGTGAGTACTGAGGCAGGGATTTCCACCTTTAACAAAATTAGGAGAGACAACTGTTCTTTTATTCTATTAAGATTGTCTGGATTTACAATGCCTAAGCATGTCTGTCATGTGGAACCAGGTTTGCAGGCTTCTAAGAGTACTCTACCTTTTGGCTTTTAGTTGGGTAGACAACAGATAGCACAGGCCATAGGAGAGCCTAAGATTGCTTAGCATGTATATGATTTTACCTAGAGATTCCGTAAGAATCAGAAGTTTGGAATAAATATGGTGAGGAAAAAACATGGTGACAGTAATATTTATTTATTTAGTAATGAATCAGGACTAGGAGAAGGACTTGTGATAGTGATAGGACATGTTTTAACATTACCTTTAAATGTGGGATTGGGCAATTATTTTTTTTTCCTTTAAGAATCATTTTCTAAGATATTTTCCTTCACTGCCTTCTTCCTCTTCCCCACTCTCCCCCACAGTATCTTTAAAATTATGGCTAATGAAATAAAATTATGTTTATGCAGGTAGGTATATGATCCCATGAATAGGATCAGGAGCAAGGTGGCCTTTAATATTAAATTGCTTTATATGTGACTGTAGTCTTTTCTGAGATTCTTTTTCTTATTTAGTAAAAGGTACTGCCTCTGAAATCTGTTGATCTAATTACAATGAATTTTGTTCAACCACAAGGTGAACTTTATGTATTTAATAAACCACTACTTTTATGAGGAAAACAATGGGATTTAACCTTTTAAAATCTGGGCAGATGCTGGGGATTTAGCTCAGTGGTGCTGCTGTCTGCCTCGAAAGTGCAAGGTCCCAAGTTCAATCCCTGGTACCAAAAATAAATAAATAAGTAATAAAATAACATCTGCACAGTCAACAGGCCCCCTTTCGTGTTTGGCTACTCTTGTCATTTGTACAGAACACACCCTATTGCTGCTGTCCTATCTGAGAGTCAGCACTCCCAAGCCATCCTACACTTCATCCCCACATGGCTCCCGCTCTCGGTGAGGTTCCCACCGTCACTCCTTACTCTCCCTGCTGGGTTTCTCTGCACACACACCCCCTCCCCAGCCCCACAACCCACCCAGCTACCCTGGTCTTCACTCAAAACCATCACGACTATGGCCTGTGAAATTCATGCTGGCCTTCCCTTTCTGTCCAAAGGCTGTGAGTACCACTACTCATT